GAGTTTATGAAAATGATCGACAAAAAATCTCTACTATTAGGTTTTATTATTTGGTTTCCCCTATGTTTGCGATTATATATACTTATATCTAACACCCCAATGTGTAATGTACCTTAATAATAATATGGTTGAAAAAGGAATTTGTAATGGAACTGTTGGTGTAATTGCAGATATAGATCATACTCAAGATTTAGTCAGAATTGTTTTTTGTATAAATGGTGGAATTATAGATTTAGAAATATCAAAATATACTTCAAAAATTTATCTAAATGGTTCATTTGCTTCCAGACACAATTTCCCTTACAAAATGCTTTTGCCCTCACAACACACAAAACACAAAGTATAAGCCTTTCATCAGTTTCAATTACACTAGATTGTGAAATATTTTTCCCAGGTCAGGCATATGTTGCACTAAGCAGATGTACTTCTTGGGAAAACCTTCAAATTATTTCATTTGATAAAAATGCAATTATAACAGATCAATCAATGATCCAAGAATATAATTGCCTAAAAGAAAAAATATCAATTCCTTTACCATTATAGACAATATTAATAATGCAATATTAGTATATTAAAACAATTATTTATTATTTATTAAATTTTAAAATCTTGCCAAATTTTTTAACTAAAAAAAAAAAATAAAATTAGAAAAAAAAATCCTGGCAACCAGCATATTTGCATACTCTAGTTCCTTTTTTAAAATATTTCTGATATATAGTACTATAATTCTTGGGCTCCATGGTAGATCTGATGCAAACGAGTTTCATATTAACTATTTTTATATAGAGGTAATTCTATATATCACTTAATATTAAGAAAAAACAAATATAACAAATGGGGGGATTTTAATACCACATTACTAAATTTTGATCCCTGAAACCTTTGGTAATACCAATGTTCACTTTGTCTGGTTTTGTTGCAGCATGCCCATATAATAATTTATATACAATAGTTTATATACATTAGTTAACCTTTAGTTTGCATATGTAGTGCTTTTTTTTTTACTTTCCTTTAGACATGTTAGTGTTATCCAATTCTCTGGATTCATTTGAAAAAATTTTGGTTTTTTTATTTAGATTATCATAACATTATTCTTGGTAGATCTTCATATGCACAAAACTTCCATCATAAAATAGTAATTGATTAATTTTCAACATGTTTATACTTACTAATATTTTCCTAAATCAATCTAAAATAATAATAAAACAAAAAAATTTATTAAACATAAAATAGCAACAACAATAACAATAACAACAATATCGCCAATTAATTACCATTTTTTTTCTTTATTCTTTTTCTATTTGATTTTTTGGAATGAGATGATTTTGTAAATCTTTTAATTTTAATAGGATGAACCCTTTTTTTGATTTTTTCATTATTCATTGACTTTTTCTTCTTACTTGATAATTTATTATTATCAACTTCTATAATCTTTTCAATATTTTTAGAATATTCACTCTCTGATATTGAAGAAAAATTACAAATGTCTAAATCATTGATTATTGTAACCGTTGTCAATGTTTCAGGTGTTCTAAATTCGGATTTTTTCATTTCTATTTCTTGTTTCACATTTTTCTCTTCTTCCACATATTCATCAACCTTGTCTTGTAAGTTTTCATCAACATTTGATGATGATGATATAATTGAATCTATTAAGTATAAATAAATTATCTTTACAAATTTGTTTTGTTAAAAATCCATATGTATATATAAACTCAATTCCTTCCTTACACACTTTCAGTTGTTTTATAAAACTCTGCGATTTTTTTTATTTTTGCTTCTTTTGTCTAATTATTCAATAAAATTCATTGATGAGTTTTTTTTATTTTTAAAAACATATAGAGATACACAATATATTTATATGTCTATATATATATATATACAAACATACAGTTTTCCTAAGTTCAGATCTTTCTTTTTTTGCGAGTCTTATAGCTGTTTCTTTTGCCTTTGCCTTTCTTTCCAACTTTCTTTTATGAAAACCCGTTAAATATTCACTTAATTTTCATAAAATTTATTAAAATAAATAATAAAATAAATGTGCTGTTTTAATTTACAAAATATAACTAACCGTCTAGCATTTTCGTCAAAAACTATTTTTTCAACTTGTTGTTTTTTTCTTTCTCTTTTTTTAGCATATATTTGATTTCCCGAAGTTAATATTGTTAAATTATCCATCTTTTAAAAATTTTTTTTTTTTAACCAGACATAGCAACAAATTTGTGTCAATCACATTTGATTCTAGAGGTGCGCATAAATCATATGATTTCCTTTAATTTTGAATATTGAATGATTATTTGAATCCTTTGTATTATCAAGCTACAAAATAACATCATCATCAAAATTGAGAAACTAATTTTTTTTTGTTGAAAATTAATAATAGTTAGTATATAAAAGGGGTAGTATCTTAGTCATAATTTTACAAATAGTTGGAATTGATAATGATCCCTACATTCTATTGAGTCTGAAGAACAGAACAATTTAATAACAATAAATAATATGTATATTAATATTTTACATGGCTTCTATTGATTTAAGAGAAGCATAATTACTCAGAAGTTGATGGTTTAGCATTAGATGAATATGATGGCTACAATATAATTTTAAATAATTCCAG